AAATAGGGGGGGGGGGGGATTTGTGAAAGATGAAAAGACAAAGCAACCAGACACCCTGACTGGGATTAGCTGTGACGGATTTTGCATCTAATGAAGTGCCCTGTTGGAGAGAATTACTGGGAGTAATAGGATAACTATTCCCTCATATGACAAGCCAGTTCCCTTATGTCCCATTATGTTCAGACAGGCTGTCACAGAATATTTATGTTTATGAGCATGTTTTTGTGTGTGTCACTAAGAGTAAGTGAATGCCTTCTGAGATGCAGCTACACACATACACAGTTGATAAAAAGATTCCAGGTAATACCATAGCCCCTTCTTTTCAGTATCCATAACATAAACATAGTCCCAGGCCAATGACAGCATGGGTCATCTGATATAATCCAGCAACAGGAACCCTGTGGACTTTGTCCTAATAACTAAATCAGCAGGGGCTGTAAGTGTCAGGTGTGTAAGCATGTTGACACCTGCACCAATGTTTCTTTAAAAAAAAAAAAAAAAAAAAATGGCAAGCAAAACATTATAAAGCTTCTGAAAGGCTTCACACCAAAAGGAGAATATGGTGTACTGTATGGGATGTTTCTACAATGGCCATCTATGATCACAGTGTTTGCTGTGTTTACACAGCAGGATGCCAGTAAAAAGTTAACAGGAAGTTAACTCCAACCTTCTCTGCCTCCCATTAAAATCTACAATACAAGTGGTTCTTGTAGTCACATAACCTGCTCTCCCTGTCTTTCCACATCATCGCCTTATTTCTTTGTCTCTTCAGGAACATTCTAACAGACAAAAAATTCACAGAGACAGTGAGTGAATGAATGGCAGTGTAGTTTCCCTAAATGAAATGGAAGGGACTGCAGATAGAAAAATCGGGTGTGGATATGTTCCTGGCTTTAAGAACAGCACCCTTAAATCAGGAAAACACAAAGCATCAACACAGGTAAGTCAGTAAAGTCCAAAAAAAAAAAAATTTCTAACAAGGTCTCAGGCAGCAAAACAAATGGCAGAAATTAGGGGTTACACTGTATTATTGGACCACATAAAGTAGACGTGTGTGTTGTCAGTGTGGTGACTGTAATGGTACTGTGTGGAGAGCAAAGTAAGACTGGTACTCTAACACACATAAACACACACACACACAATCACTCTCCCATGCACACTCCTTGAAGGTCCCCACTGGCATGTTCCCCTTAAATTAAAACATACCAGTTAGAAGTATTACTCTACATATAGCAGGTTAATATTACTACACGTGTCTCCATGGTAACTAGGGAAGAGAGACAACCATTCTAGGATTGGAGGAGCCAGACAGGACTGTTGTCAGCAAAGACCTAATATATTATATCTTTCTCTACTGGTGGGGCAGTAAGGCAATAGCCATGTGAAGGCTGTAGTGGACCAGCTGCCATGGTAATGATAGTGTGGGAACACCACACCAGGGCTGAGGACTGGGGACCTGGTAGTGAGATGTGTCCATAATCACTGAGGGCCTGAGGAGGATCAGCTGCCACTTTCCCAGCCTCATGCCCGGTCGCTGCAGACACCTTGTTACCTCATATTCTCTTCCTGGCCACCTCCACATCTTGGCACTCAACAACTGACAGTGCTATCAGCATCTGGCCAGCATAGTAGGTGGCCATGATGATAGTGCGTGAATAGGGCACAGGGAAGCAGAACTTGTTGACAGCGATGGTGACATCGGAGGCAATGAAGAGCACAGCGCCAATGCAAGCGGACAGCTTGGTCCAGGTCCACAGGTCGTTGGCAAGCTGCAGGCCTGCGGTGGCCCGCCAGCCCATGAAGCCAATCAGAATGGTGTAGACGCCGACGAGGTAGGTGAAGGGGCCACACAGGTAGGGGTACAGCAGGATGTAGATCAGAGAGGACACAGCAGTATACACAAGGCCAGCGCACAAGTTAAGGGGCTTCATCCCGTAGGCGGACGAGTAGAGGATGTGGGCGATGGCAAACATCAGGAGGCCTGAAAAACAGAGATGGTTGACTTTGACCTCTCTTAGACTTGGGTTTAAAGCACAGCCCACCACTGAAGTGACTATTAGATCACAACGTTTATTCCACATATCGGAGGTGTGATTATATTCATGGACGCACACCAGAAGGGGGGTAAACTTGGTAATACATTCCGACTAACTGGAACTCCGAACACAATGCTATTTAACCCCTCACACGGTGGCTAATGTGACACACTCTGAGAACTGGAACATACCACTTGCGGGGGGAGAAACAAGAGGGGAGGAAATGGAATAGTCCAAATGACATTACCCTTTTAAGAAGGCCTGTAGGACATGATTTAAATCTGAACAGTATCCAACAAAGTGGTTTTCTATCTAGCTACCCACTGTAGACTGACTGACCACTTTATTAGGCACACTTGTACAGCTGTATGCAATTCAATGCAATATTTCCACCTTAACATTGGTGTTTATGAAGCTCAAAATGTTTACATTTTGGTGAAATTGTCATAAATGTATAAATTCAATTATATGTTTATTATTGAGGTCATAGTTAAAGGTGATTTTGTATATTATACTTTTTTCCCCAGAGGTGCCTCTGGAAATATTAACATAGCCGGTGAGTGTACAATAAAGTCTTAAGTAGTATTAATATGTATAAAGAATCATATGTAATGTACTTCTGTTTGTTACATTAACAATGATGGGTCAAAGTTGAACCAGGAGTTATGTCTGCAACCACAATGAATGCCTACAATGCACCGTTCTGCAAATAGATCTGATATTTGGCTAACCTGAAGATTAGTTTAAAACATGGATGATTACCAAGCTCATATTTCACTCCTTTATAGTGATGTCAACACCTTCTTAGAAACTAGCATGCTATTATGGGAATGATGACAAAAATTACAAGAACAGGGCCCAACTTTAAAACACAATTATCCTATAAGTAAATCCATATGCAACTGTTCATGATGTTTCCCCTCACCATGGACGAAGTAGCCCTGCTCCTGCCAGATGAGAAAGGCATCACCCAGAGCAGAAAAGATGAGGCCAGCCAAGATCCTGCGGGCACTGGCATGAGCACACAGGAAGCTAAAGCCATGTGCTAGTAGAAAGACCCAGAGGCAGAAGATGGGCAGACATTTAATCAGGGCACTGAACCAGGATGGGCTTGAGGTAGGCAGCCACAGGACAAAGTATACACAGGTTGCCTTGAGGAACGGCACAAGCTTCGGGCCTTCACTCTTGACCTGAAAGCAGAGTAAATATTTATCACAGAGTCAAAGTTGGTTGCACTTATATAAAGTTATATTATTCAGAGTCAGTGCTGTAGTAGTGAGTCCTAAAACCCAGAACCGAGTTACCATTTTTGCACTTCCAGTTCCCTCACCCTGAAGTCAGTGGGTTTATTTGAATCAGTTTTAGGTTTTATGAATTAAATGAGGTCTGTGGTTAACACAAGGCCAATATATTTTCAAGTTTTGTTCTAAGAAATTAACCATGTCAGTAAATACCCCACTTGTGATTTTTAATGCTTTACATGTATTTAAAAAGGCAGTTGCTAACAAGTCCACAGAGGGTGCCATTACTGCTGTTCTCCATCCAGCCCTCACCCACCTAGATTCAAAGAACTCTTACATGCGAATGCTGTTCCTAGACTTCAGCTCAGCATTCAACACAATAATTCCCCAGCAGTTTATAGAAAAACTTGGAATCTTGGGACTCAAAACCTCTCTCTGCAACTGGGTGCTAGACTTCCTAACAGGGAGGCCACAAAATGTGCGGGTCGGCAGCAACATCTCCAAGACCATCACGCTGAGCACAGGGGCTCCCGCAGGGGTGTGTGCTCAGCCCATTGCTCTTCACACTGCTGACCCATGACTGTGTGCCAACCTACAGCACCAACCACATTGTCAAGTTTGCGGACAGCACGAATGTAGTTGGCCTCATTACCAACAATGATGAGGCCAACTACAGGAGTGAGGTGTGCCAACTGGTACAGTGGTGTAAGAACAATACCCTCTTCTTCAATGTGGGAAGACTAAAGAGATCGTTGTGGACTTCAGGAGAAAACCTCTAAAGCATCCCCCACTGACCATTGATGATGCTGTAGTGGACAGAGTGAGCAACACCAGGTTTCTGGGGGCGCACAATCTGCTGCTGACTGTTTTCCAACGTCATATCTGCTGCTGTTGGTCATTTGCACTGCTGTCCATGTACATTTCATAAGCTATTATGCATCTCATCACCAACGCTCCTGGTGATTCTGGCCATCTGACAATCATCTTGTTATTATTGCACTACTGTCACTGTTTGCACATGGCTTTGAGTTTCTTCATAGCCTATTAGGTTGTACCATTTAGTTTATCCTTAGTACTTTAATTCAGTCTTCATAATCCTATAATTCTGAGTTTATTCAACCGTTATTCTATTTAGTTTCTTAAATGGTATTCAATATTAGGAGAGAGAGAGAAACAGCATTTTGATTTTTCTGTATGTCCTGCACATATAGTGAACTGACAATAAAAAAAAAAATCTTTGATCTCTGAAGTGGCTAAATGAGACTACAGTGGCTGTCTGGTATTTTACGGAGACTAAACTACTCACTACCCTGCCTATACAGTCTCATAAACTTGCACTCTTGCAAACTGTTCTGACACGGCCATGATCACTAGCTGGATCAGGTCATACCCAGCATAGTTCATTTATAGCCTTTTACTTCTGGCAGCTGTATTTGGACTTCCAAAGTCATAAAAGTAGTGTTCACTTGTGAAGATTATCTTGCTGAACAAAACGCGTGTCATAAACTGTTGTTTGTCACAGAGCTTATTTTTTGCAATAATCCAGAAGCCTGTGGAAAAATCTTATTGCTTTTGGTCGAGGGAACCAGGGTGATGCTAATTTCCGTGTGGGCCTACAAACTAGATTTATAAAAGGGACTTTTATTTCTTTTATTTCAAGAAAAATACATCACAGGAAGCAAAAACCTCAAAAGAGTCAGCACTTTGTGTGTTGTGTGAAGTTCAGTATCTCACATCTTAATTATAAAGAGGGAATAGAAGTAGCAAACTTGAAGTACTTCACCTTATTTGGGAGTGTGGTTTGAGAACAGTCGACAGGCTTGCTTTATGTGGTGAACAGTTTACATCACTATGTTGGGCATGCATGTGTTTTGTAACTGAAGCGAAACACTGAAACGGCAAGTAGAAGGGGAAATGGAAAAGGCTTCTACTGATCTTCTGACTTCTAATAACCTTTCCTTCATTTCTTTTTTGACTCCCTCACCATCTTGTTTTATTTTCTCCTCATATTCTGGAGAACACTGTGCCATAATCAAGTCTCCATTTCTTCCTCCCAACTGTGTTACCGTTCATGTTTCTTACTATCCAAATAGATGAGGCCCATCGGGATCACAAAAACAAAATTACAAAGAAGTTTTGCAACACCTCTAGAAAGATCAACCACACACAGTATGGTTCTGAGAATCATTCTCAGTATAAGCAGAAGGCGCTGGGATTCAAAGAGGGAGAAGAAAGGCGAGGTAGAGCTGGGAGAGGAATATAGTGAGAGAGGGTTCACTAGAGGAGGGCTGAGGAGGATATAAGTAAAACAGGCGTTGGAGGATGTCAAAGGGGTCACGGTGCAACTGGAAAAGAGTTTAAAAGAACAGGTAAGATGTGCTATTCAGTGCACCAGATGTCCAATTGCCATTTTAAACTCTTCTCCACAATTATTCTATGGTAAAATGATGCAAAAAAAAAAAGAAAAAAAAGAAGGAAAAAAAAAAAAAAGAAGTGGACTCTGCTAAAAATTAACAATAATGAGGAAGTAGAAAGCCATGAGGAAGTGAAGATTGAAGGTTCTGGTAAAGTACAGTGAGCAAGATGGGGCTAGCAGGACTGAAATTACATATAGGAGAGGACAGGCGAGTAGGAGATAAGAGACAATGAGGGGTCATTCTAGTTCATACAGTCCATGCTCCTGGAGGAGGGTGGGGGCCCTGATTGCACAACTGTTTAATGAAATCGCAGAAATTAGCAGACAGGATAAGGCACAGTGTTTCAAACCTGCCCTGGTGTACCTGATATGCCTAACACACAGCAGGAAAACAAGAGGAATTTCACATTTTCTTGCATGGTAACAAGCATGTTTAGACAAAAACATACACACAACATGCTGTCTGCTGTGACCGAGTGGCCAAAATAACATTGCTTCATTTAAGAATTATGGCCATGGTGTCGCCATTATGAAACCAGCATGACGCTAAGAGGTTTACATGCGAGACTACTGTAATGCATTTCTTACCATTTTTAGAAGATATCATTAACATCTGATTGTAGAGCATATGAGGCTCTAAACATGACTTAGGGGGTGCCAAGAATACTGACACCCTATTGATTTAGGGTGCCTTTGTGCCTTTAGATTCACTCAGATCTTCTGCTGTGGGTTTGGTACCTATTCAGATCCAAACATTCAACATTTTATTTTCAAATCTGCTTCCACACTCAAATATTTCAAAGACACCACTAATCTGCAGTTCCGGTTTCAACAGCTTATTATATGTTTACATTTCTACTAGCCTTTTAATACAATGTATTTCTGTGTCTGTACCTGGAATTTGTATTTTAGCTTGTTGCTATTTGGTTTTACTGCCGTCATAAAGCACCCTTTACTGAAAAAGGGTGTTTTTTTTTTACATAAGCAGTGACCATGGCTGCTTCTTTTTACATGAGTGCAGATTTCATATTCTCATTTATCTTAAACAACTTTGTGCAGTTTCATTCTTGTTCCTCTAAACTTTCCCAGGATCAATAAAGTCCACTGTCTGATCAGTCAGTATTATGGAAAATATTAAAATAAGCTGGTGTATTGTAGCTATGCTGACTTTTACTGAGGAAATAATAATTTTCTTCTAGCTTTATGTCCATTTAAAACATTACAAGTTTCTAACAAATGGAAGTGGCATGAGAGAAATGTTTCCACTGAAGCAAAACTAATGTTAGCTAATGTGAACTAAAGCACTCCTCCTCTTCATTATGTACTTGATACCTCCCGTTCATCAAACAAACAAAGGCATAAACAAAGATTAAAGCAAGATTTATGACAAAAGTATTTGCATGATGAGTCCATCTATCCCATTAAGGGATTAGGCCAAATGGGTGCCATTCAAGTGCACTGGAGACAGCACTAGCATCACTCAAAGACTGTCCAATATAAATGTGTTTATCAGGCCACTGGTGGTTACTTATACACAAGACAGAAAATCCTAACATATGTCTGTCATACTGTCATGATTCAGGTAGGTCTCTAAGCAACATCACCACCCAAATAAATCACATTTTTAATAGGATGCAATGAAAGCACGTTTTGCCTGCAAGTCAAGACCCAATAATATTGACCCTTGATCACAGATTCCCATAACCTTTGGTCTTATTTGAGCTGCATTGAAGCCATACTTCGCAGTTTCCCCTTCCACTGTTTTTCTTGTAAACCTATTGCCTCAGCACTAAGTACAGGGAATGGGAACCACCCTATAGCATAAGGTATACAAAAGCTACTCTTTCAAGAAAAGGACTTAAATCGCCAACAGTGTTACACTGTTAATTTGGCACATTACACTGTGCCAAATTATTGTTTTTCTCACATCACCTACCATAACTGCTGCAATAGCTTCTTCTCTAATATATGGATCACTATCATGTTATTCTAACAACTGCACAAAAATGTTCCACCAAGAAGGTGCAGTGCAATTACACCTGCTGGAATTCATACATTGGTCTGGAGTGGATTTAATGGTTTTATTTCGCTGAGGCTCAGCCCAGTTTTCTCATTTAGTCTTTTATCAAAAAGAGATTGTCAGGGGTTTGCAGCACTACATTGTCTTGGCTGTAACCTGTTCTACTCACAGTGATCGAGGCGCCAGTTTGTCTGCAGAGACACTGAACAGCAAATCATGAGCCCTGTGTGAGTGCAGGGTACAGAACATAGTGCCTCATTTGGGAGGCAAATGAAATGATTCATTGTGTTATCAACTAGAAGTCTGACAGGCTGTAAACACCTACCTAGTTCTCCAGATAAAAAAATAAAGTAAAAGGTGGAGTGTATTTGTATAGCCATTAGCAAGCAATAGATTTTCTTGTGGAATGAACAACAAGATCACATGACTCCCTTCTCCAAAGTGTTCTTGTATGCAAACCAATGAAACAATGGTACCAACAAAATAATTTTCTGGCATTTTTACACACAGTGATCCTGAACAGTGACAGTAGTGCAATAATAATAAGAAGACTGTCAGGTGGCCATCATCACCAAGGACGTTGGTGATAAGATGCTATTATGGACCTCCTGCCTGGCCTCCTGCCTGGACTGCAGCTAAGATGAGTTGTAGTAGAATGAAGCATATGAAATGTACATGGACAGTAATGCAAATGACCAACAGCAGCAAATAAAAAAAAAAAAAAAAGTCAGCAGCAGATTTACATATAATATGACAAAAGGGGGGAATGTATTGAGTTTGTGCAAACAGCAGAAGTAGGATTGTTCATCCATTCTAGGTCATATACCGACTGCCAGAAACATGATACACAGAAGTACATTAAAGACCTGTAAACTCTTGAGCATTTCATTTGGCAGAAAGGAACTGTAACATAAGTATGGTCCCACAAAGCACAGTTGCCATCTGAGTCACGTGACAATATTCCTTTGTACTATCACAACACTGGTTCATTCCATACAGCTGCTTCAACTCCAGTGAGAACTTTGAGCTCAGTTTCAGACAAGTACAGTGCAATAAATGAAGGGCTTTTCACACAACTAAATACCTTTTTTGTAACAATCTATGTGGTGCAGTATATAAATGCTTTGAATGCTGAAGTAAGTGAGTGCAGTAAAAACATTGTTGATCAAGGGCTAAATGCCACTATAGTTGTGTCTATAAAGCCTAAAAGAGAAGTGAAGTTCCCAATGTATCTCTGGGCTACAACAGTTACCTGTCAGCAAGTGTAAAGTCCACATTAGTAAAGGCCAGTATGTACTGATTGGAGACTGTTTGTGCTCCCAGTGGCTGATTCTATATCATCTATAAAGGACAAAAGTTGATCAACTCCCTTAAGAGCACAACAGTGTGTTAAACAAATGGTGTAGTACTGTTTATTAGGAGTCAGAAATTAAAACAAGCTGCATTTTATGTAGAAGTAACAAAAGAATTATGGCAGCATCTAATGGTGTAATGACCCCTTTTCATAACCTTTGAGTCGAGATGAATGGTGAACTCATTGACATTTCTGGGGGGTTATTTATATTTTAGTTATTACAATGTACTTTTTCAAATGTAACTCATAACAGATGGTAGGATGTATACAATGATGTATAGTAAAATAAGATAAAATAAAAAAAATTATGCTGATTAACCGATTTATGTTTATGGTGGTCAATGTGATGTTTCGGGATGATCACAAAGTCACTGTCAATGCTTGTAGACGTTTTACTTTCTTAATACCAAACGGAGCACCACATCCGTCCAATAATGTTTTAAACCCAGGACATGCTTCTGCATATTAGTTAGGTAACCGCAGGATCTGTTCAGCCATCATCATTACTAAGGCAACCAGTTTAAAAGGCAGCTATTCCTCCACAAGGCAGTCGCACACATCAGAATTTATTATAGGCCTAGTTAACCCATACCATCCTTCTTGGCCCCTGAAAACGGGGTAACATTTCATAGCAGGTCTATTAATGTAAGAGGATGCTAGGGCTGGTCAAATTATTCATATAGCCGTCACATTTACTTGTCAAAATGACAAATTACCTACAGTGTCAGTTGGGTCAATTGTAGAGCTAATGGACAGACTAAACAAGAGAGTCTATGAAAAACACGGCTACAGCAAAGCATATGAGAAGAAAGCCAGACACAGAAGAGCGCTGCTTGGCGCATGCGTCACTGAAGGGTACAGGAATAAAAAAGGAATAAAAAAGGAGAAAAAAAAAGAAAGTCGTCACGTGATATACTCTCTTTTTGTCAGATGCCTTTGGAAATATGTGGAAACGTCCTTCAGTATTTGACAATTGAGAGGAAACTGATATTCTGCACATAAAAGTTCCTGCTTTGTGTGTGCAGCACATACAGACGCATATTATTAAGTATCGAGGCGAAGCGACACTAAAAAGAGAGTGGGTGTGGATGGACACCTCGCTGAACATGTCTAAATTAGCACCAGACATTCTCACTTAATGCGAATTAGGTTATCACTTAAAGAGCATGTGCTGGCCTCCTAAGACAAAGTATGACATGCTATGCTATGCTATGAATAATAACACAAACACTACATTGAACGCTGAATTCCTAATCCAGAGGCGGTAGATAATGAACCAGCAATGATAGAAACATTCAAATGCGTGGACAATTTTACCTCCGTAGGTGTTGTTATCGTGTAGCTAAACTAACTACCAATATTATTCCTGTTTGTGTGAAAAATATCAACGCCGGTTTGACGAATACTCACCACTGTTACTGGAGAAACCATTTCTCCTTCTGCGGTGTCGGTGAAAACGTATATACTATCTAAAATCGGTTTATGTCGTCCTGTTTATATCCTACCGCATGAGAGCTGTAGATTGTTTTTGTGTCCTTTCCAGTGGGCGGTCCGACGTCTTTGTTGAGGGTGGGAGGACGGCCTCAACGTGGACACCGCTTCCGCTGTTGTCCAATAGAAGCAGAGAGTTGTCGTGACGAATGCGTGACAAAACGTCAGGCACGCCCCGATTAGGAGGAGTCGGTCTCATACTGGAGCAGATGGCATTTATTTACATTTCACAGAAATAGAGCTTGTTGGTAGCATTATTGCCCAGCTTGTTTATTCGTGTGTGCTGTCAATCCAGTGTTATTGAGTCACAGCAGGCAACAGAATGTAGATGAAAAGAAAAGAAAGGAAAATATGACCCCCATCTCCAAAAAAGTCTCATGACAGACACATAGGAATGCTCCTCAATTCTGAGTATTAGTTGCATTAAAAAGATGAGTTTATAATAAACTGAATGAAATGTTGGTCAGTGTCATTGTACAGTAATACCTAGTGCTGTTTTGAAATGTCCATTCATCATTAAATAACTTCTTCTTTTCTCACTTTTGTCTTTGGTCATTTTTTTTCTGCCATTTGTCTTTATGTTCCCACTAAGCTATATTTTAGATGAATGAACCAATAGTGTAGTTGAATTAACATTTTTGTTATAGTTATTTAAGGTGCCTTTTTAAGTAGCCTATATTTTTCTTAAAGTTCCCATGGTACACTAATTTCCAGCCATTTAATTTTTAATTTTGGGTACCTCTAGATTAGCTTTGCACCCATTTTAACTCAAAATAGTCTGTAGTTATTTCAGAACAATAAAACACAATAACATAAGGAGAGCCTCCTCATGACAATGAAAGGATAGTTCCTGAACGTGCACAACTCCTGTTGCCGGTCAGGAAGTTATGGCACTAGGGCAGTGGTCCAAGTGTGGAACCCAATGCCTTGAACTGCAGAACACAATCAAAGTACAATAACTCTTAAGGTTCATGGTTCAAGGATTTTATTTATACAGAACATCGAAATACAATTTCTCTCTCACCTAGAATTGGGTGCCATAACATTTAGGAACTAAAATAGAGTAAAAATAGAATAGAATAGAATAGAATAGAATAGAATAGAATAAGAACTGGATTGACGTAATTAGGATAAATCTAAATGGTACAGCCAATAAGCTGTGACTCAAAACCATGTACAGTCAGTGACAGTAGTGCAAACAATAATAGGAGATTGTCAGATGGTTCAGCATCACCAGGGCATTGGTGATGAGGTGCAAATAGCATATGATATGGTACACATGGACTGTGCTGCAAATGACCAACAGCAGCAGATATCCCGGCAAAAAAAACTAAAACAAAAAACAGTCAGCAGCAGGTTTACCTGTAATATAACAAAAAGGGGGAATGTATTGAGTTTGTGCAACATCAGAAGTATTCTTTTTTATATCTTCTTATGTTGTGTGGTGGGTTACTGTCCAGGGGTGGGGGTGGGGGGGTAGTGAACAGTGTTCAGCATCCTCACAGCCTGGTGAATGAAGCTGTTTGTAAGTCTGGTGGAGTGGGCCTGAAGACTTCTCCCTGAAGGCAAGAGTTTGAAGTGGGAGTGTGTGGGGTGGGAGGTGTCATCAGCAATAAGTACTTAAATAGAATATTCTGCTTTTACTGGAATATTTCATTTATATCCTAATTTATAGCCTACTTTTCCCACTGATAAGGCAAATATTAGTCTTGTTATTTAAAGCTATTTAAAAGTTTAGTATTAAATTAAATAACAGTACATAACAGTTGTACCCAAACAAGACATAAAGTATCCCTTTGACTTGCTAAACTAAAATGCATATGAACTTTTGTTAAAGTAGAACCTTGAATGCAGGATCTTTACCTGTAATTGAGTCGCCTACTATAACGTTAGGGCTATGGTATTACCATTAGTCTACTTGAGTAAAAGATCAACAATAAATATAACCTATTTGTAACAGTTCTGAAGCTCTTTTGTTAATTGCTTCAGGCCGATATAACTGGTAGTTAGGCAAAAATAATTAATAACTCAATAAATTTTTGTAACACCACATTTCTAGAGTATTTTAGATAAATAAAATATTCATAGTGGTAGCGACATCATGTGGTCTAAAAATGTCAAAACTCTTTTTGGACGGATATTGCGTAAGGAAACCATAACATGGCGAAAAGCGGAAGTTCCCGTCACACATAAAACCCGGAATGAATTACATTATAAATAACGGAATGGGTTAATCTCAAACTACTGTGAATAAACGTGAAGTCACAAAAATCCACTACCTTTAGACCTGCTCTGTCAAGCCTATTGGCTACACTTGCTGATGAACATATATCTGACTCATTATTTTTAGTTGGTTGCAGAGTTACACGATTTTCTAAATAATAATAATAATAATAATGATAAATTAAAATACAATAAAGATTACAGTTTGTTTATCGTTTGTTAAATGCGTCGTCACATTTTCACATGCTAAGCATATTATGAACAAAACGGTCCTCTTCTCATCTTACTCAACAAGCAAATATGTAAAATTAAAATAGCCTAACACATTTAGAGAATACTACGTTGCAACACTGACCAATATCCTCCCGCTTACCAGACATCAGACACTCGTTAAACAAAATATATTTTTCTCGTGATAAAATGTCTGATAATGCAACCCTTTACTGTGTATTTGAACTGTTATGCTTAGCAAAAAAATGATCAAACCAAGACTATAAAATATAAACCTTTAATGTCGCCTATTTACTGACTCTTTGGTGTGTCACAAAAACGGAAGTACATAACAGCGAATTCTCTCATTTCCTTACAAAACTGTCTGGTCCCTTTAATTTTTCGTCTTTCTGGTTATTAATATTTACCAGCATCCGGCGTCCGTTACGGCTGAGTTTTTAGTCTTTTTCTTTCAGTAGGCTTTAATAACACTAATATTTTGATGGATCTGTCTTTCGTTGAACGTACTATATCGTTACAAAGGCCAAATTCGTCGGTCAGGCTTCTTGGTGGTCAGTAAATGTAGGGTTTGCTAACATATGCTATCGGATGTGCGGATGAAGTAGCTAGAGTTAGTTATTAGTTAACTGTTCAGTATACAGTTTGCCTCCTTATGGACTGTGTTTGACAAATTTGTTTCTTTATAGCAATATAAGTGCCGCTTTATAGAGCTATATTCAGAGTTAACGTACTTGTTTTGTAGCGTTAAACCAAACGCTAACAGTTATCCTCGACACTCCTGGTCGCGTTTTTCCTGAGAAGCTTCAGCCAGCCAGCTTGCATCACCTGCTGCCAAAATGATGGACTTTGATAATATATTAAACATTGCTTCGCAAAACCAGGACCACAACAGCTCTGTACAGGTGTGTTGAACACTAAGACTTGCACTCAAGTTAGTTAGGCCAAACAGGACCGTATGGATTTCTGGACAATGTTGTTAGCATGCAAATGACAGCTCATCTATCCGTGTGGATGTGATAATGTAGCTAGCTACTAACTTCCTCTCTTGTCGGCATATACAGCATGCTAGGCTATGAAGACTTTTATAAACACCCGTTTGCTTTGGTGTCTTTAGTTTAGCAATCAATGTTGATCTTTTAACTAGCATGACTGATAAATTATATTTAAAGTAAAGAAGCCTGTTTAATTGCTCCATATTAAAAATTTATTTGACGCTCCCTCTTTGAACAGAAGAGATACAGTTTACAAGCTGGACCACCCAAAAAGGTCCCGAAGTCAAAAGGCGTAAACCCTGCTGCTGTGCAGGCACTTCTGAAGAAGCAACAGAAAGAGACCAAAATGAAAGGTAACTGAAAAAATTAAGTTAAGGCAGATAACAGAAATTTGATAGTCACCCACATACAGAAATTGCCGTTCATTTAAGATTTAATATACTTTTTTTTTTCAGAAATGCAACAGAAGAAAGAGAAGGAGGCACTAATCGCCAAGAGGGTTGAGTTGAAGTCAGACCGTAAAGCACGAGCCATGGCTTCCAGAACTAAGGACAATTTCAAAGGTTACAATGGCGTCCCAGTGGTGGAGGGTCCTAAGAAGAGGAGATCAAAACTAGATATGCAAGAACCTAATTCAATTGCTATAGAAAATTTTAAAAATGACTCAATTGATACAGAGGATGATGAGGATTATTATGAGTATGAAGGTACAGATTCAGAGCCAGAGCAGGAGCCAGAGCCACTGAGACCAAGGAAAACCACATTTGTTAGTGGAAGTAGTAATAGTAGTAGCAGCAAACCCTCCTCTAACAAACCCTGTGGGCCACCCAAGCCCCCTCCACCCACCATGAACTTTGCAGATATACTTAAATTGGCAGAGGAGAAGCAGTTTCAGCCAGTTGAGTTAAAACCAAAGGTAGTGAGAAAGGAAGAAAGGCTCTACACAGCTGAAGAGTTGAGGGAACTGGAGATGGAGCGCAGGGCTAAGAGACAGGACAGAGACCGAGATTCAAAGGCAGAGGGAGGAAGAGTTAGCAATTCCCAGTCTAGCTCTAGTTCAATGAGAAAACACTCTTTAGAGAAGGACCAGAAAAACTATAAACCACAAAAAAACTCCCTAGAAAAGCCTAATCAATCCAGTGTGTCAGGAAAGAAGTTGCATTCAACACTGAGTAGTGATAGAGGCCACTCCACTTCCAAGTCTTGTGTTAATGACAGAGATGGAAATAGACCCAAGACATCCCACATAGATAGAGACAGATCCAAGGCAAGCTTGTCTAATTCTGGTGCCATAAACAGTAAAATTTCTTTGAAAGCCACATCTTCTCAGGTTTCAGCCAAACAAGTGGGCCCCAAGTCTTCATCTAGTCACAAATCCAACACCTCAAGTGACCTCAGCTTCAAAAAACAAAGCTCATCATTTCTTCAAGGAAGAGCTTCAGGTATTCCTGGGACCAGGCCTCCTGGTACAGCTGTAACAAGTCAGAAATCTCACCATGGGAGTTCTCAACAGACCAGGCCTATTCAGGGTAGCTCCTTGAAGCAGGGACCTACTGTCAGGGGCCACAAAGCTGGAAAGGGAGAACCACTAAGACCTGGAATTAATCCAGCAGTAAAATCAGGAGGTAAATCAGTGATAAGACCTTCGTCAGGTGGCCCTCCTAGGACTGGGAGCCAGCCTCAGGCAAGGCCTGGAGGCACGCTCCAGGCAAAGACTGGTCATGTCCCACAGGCCAGGCCTGGTGGGAGTCATCTACAGGGTCAACCTGGAGGTAGTGGATCCCGACCTCCGGGGATTGGACTTGGTCGGCCTCGTAGTGGAGGACCAGTACCTGGACAGTCTCCTGGCGGCATTGGATCAGGACCTGGAAGATCCAAGTGCACTGTGGTGTCAGAGACCATCTCATCCAAGAATGTTACTGGACCCAGACCAGGAGTCCCTTCTCGACCTGGGATGCCACAGAGACCAGGGATGCCACAGAGACCAGGGATGCCACAGAGACCAGGGATGCCACCAAGGCCTATGATGAACAGACCACCAGGTAAGGCCAAGAAAAGGAGAGAATACACATATCCATAGCAGTTTATTGCAATAATATGCCACATTTTGGGAAGATAGCAAATGGAATAAATAAAGTAACAGCGAGGGTAGTAAGGATGTAAGTGAAATGAAGACTGATTTACTTAAGCAAGTGTGCTTTACCCAATGGGTTTAAATCAGAGAAGTGCAGGATGTGGGGTAAAGGGTGTGGCTTGAGAACCTTTGACATTCCCTAACTTCACAAGTATGATCAGATATCCTCTTTATACCAAGCAAAAGAGCAAAAGCCAGTATTCTGCATAATAAGAATGAATTTCTGTATATCCAGGTACAATGTTACCACCTATCACATCTGCCTACAAGAGGAAATATGAGGAAGAGGAGTATGACTCAGAAATGGATGATTTTATTGATGATGGAGGGGACGCGCAGGAGGAAATTTCCAGGCACATTAAGGAAATCTTCGGTTATGATCGAAACAAGTAAGTGGTGTTCCAGTAGATTATAATTAGATTTTTGTTTAATTCAGATTCTATCAGAAAAAATGCTTTTATCTTCTTCAGATACAAGGATGAGAGTGACTATGCACTTAAATTCATGGAGAGCAGCTGGAGAGATCTGCAGAAAGAAGAGGCCAGGAGGTAAAGAAATTAACCTAACACTCTGTCACTCCAAAAATGAATCTGTTCCACATCTGTTCTCAAAGCTGCAGGATTTGTCTCCTTTACATATTGTTAGATTTTCTATATCCCTGTGTTTTCCTTCTTTAGTCTGAGACTGGCTGTGCAAGAGGATCTCGAGGAGCAGAGACGAGAGGAGGAGGAGCTGCAAAGACAAAATGCCAAGAGGAAAAGAAAGAACTAATGCAATTTGAGATTAATTAAAAACCCGAATTTCTTTTGAAACATGGAACAATGGGTCTGCCATCTTAACACGTGAAACTCAGTGACTGGCCACCTTGACCTCTGTTGCTTTCTTTCTGCTTTTCTACCTATGTTCAGACAAAAACTGAGTGGAGTGACACATGACATGGACTTGAGGAAAACCTCAGACAGTCAAAGGCTAAATACGCACAAATCATTAAGATGAAGTCGAAGGGATAAAATATAAAGTTCTCACATTTACCCTGTTATATATTTATTTCTCCCACTAAGTGCACAGTTTTTGCCATCAACAGTCCAAATTTAAAGAGAACTTTAAATATGGAGAAGTACTATTCTTTTTCTTTTTTAAGTCTTACAATAACATACTATGTTAAGTGTTAATATCATACTATTTTTGATCAGAAGCTGTTGGATATGTTTCCATGCAGACTTTGATTGTAAAGTCAGTTGATTATGCAGAAAGCATTACCACTTGATGTGTTGTGTGTTTCCCTTTGAAAGGTAGTGACAGAAATGATTGCATAAAAAGTCCGTCTGGTCAATGTTTACTCAAACTATGACATTCGTAGTAATATATACATACAGAGTTGTATTCTGCAACAGATGTTACTTAAAATATTTCCTTGCCATATAGTGTGTGTTTAATTTTTTTATGGAGTTTGTAAGAGAAAATCACTTTATCAAAGTTTATTGTTAGAACAGACTTGACTGCATCAGGACCGATGGCAGCAATACCTGTCCTGTCAAATACAGTTGTTGCTCGTAGTTTTGTCCCTCTCGGCCTGCCGTATATGACGTACGGAGTGGGAGTGATCTGTCTCTTCCCGTACTCATGAAAGCTTGCGGAAGTTTGTTTTTACAGCTGAAGTTGAAGTCAACAAGAGGGAACATCAGATAGAAACGTATTTTTTGTTGTACTACAATAGATGGACCTCAGTTCGGAGAAAATACAGCGGGCCCTCTCCAAGGTTAGTTTTTATACGAGACAGTCGGTTTCAAATAACTCCAGGTGTCTGTTAGTCGCCGGCTAGCACAGTAGGCTGCTTGATGTTAGCTGCTGTCAGCCTTTATAAACTGGCTGAACCAGCCCTGTCACATAGCATGGCCTGAAGAAACAGCTAACACGGAAACGCGACACAAAATAAGTCGAAGTAGGCAAGAAATGACTGCTTTGACATCTGTCTTCTAATTTCTAGTTATAACGTTAACGTTCTTGAGTTTAGCCTGTGCCTAACCAATGTAAATCACTGAATGGGACTGCTTGCTTGCTAGCTTTAGTAGGAATGTTGCCCAGGCTGTTTGCATAACGTCCCAGAATATATCCGGTGAAAGCTAATTTATCTTTTCCTTCAATTACTGCTATTAAGGTGCTCATGAGCTGGGTCAAGTAGCTGTGGAGTCTATGATGAGATAGTACATAACAGCTTTTAAGGTGGCTTAGTGAAGCGGCATAGTAATATAAAACTATGCATAATCTACTGAACCCAACAATATGTTGGTAGTGTAATATTGTTAATCCTTGATCAATTGATGGATCATAATTTTGATATTAATTAAAAACATTAAAATAGCTACTTACACAGCAACATATTATGGACCAGTGTTAAGAAAAGATTAGCCATAGTAGTAACCTAGAATATGTCAAGAGGCCATCCTCCTCACAGTACAAAAACTTGCAGTCCTGACAATAACTAAAGTTAGTTAAGCACATGCATATGTATACAACAAAGCTGAGCACATTCCTGTTCTAATATCACTAAACTGTTAAGTGATTTATTAGTGTACCATTTTACAGTAATTGTGTTATTTTACAGTTGAGTCATGTATAAATAAAAACCGATTATATTGAAAATAATGACCTTAAAGTACAGTCAGGTGTGACATTTGTGTCACAGCAACAAAAATGATTACACCTAAATCCACAGACAAAGTTACAAATTAGGTTTTGAACCTGCACATCTTCCTTCGTTATAGGTGCCGCTATGAATGTGTTTGTCTAACCAAGTACTGAAGTAAAAGATGAGTGTCAAGAAGCTTGGCAGGATAGAATTTTTCACACTCGACAGTAATCCCAAGCACATGGCAAAAGTCACACAAGATCATATGATTGGAGATTGTTAAATTTGAGTGTAGCAAAAAACCTCGTCAACAAATAGCAGCTGAAAAGAATCATCTACAAAGAATAACAGAAAATCTCTCTACAAATTTACATACACAGTATATGACTGGTATCACCTAAGTGGACATACAAAATATAAAAGAAATAAACAATTGAATCTCACTCAATAAATAAATAAAGGAATGGAATCTCACTTGCATAGGGTGGGGGTGTACTGACTTTTGTCACAGCTGTTTCTTAGCTAAATGTGGGCATTTAATTATAGTTTATCAAGTTAAATATTTCAGTTTAAAAAAAAAAAGTGACTTCATTCTTCTTGGGATTACACTAAAAACAAATACATTTGTATTAAAAGGGCAGGATGTGTTAATACATTGTATTGATATTGACCTGACCAGGGGTATACTCAGTTTTGTTGTATACTATACATATAGTTTCATTCATCTCAGCGACCACAGATGAGTCTGTCTTTTCTCTTGGGTCGTTAGTACAAATTCCGAGATGTTGCTATTGAGGAGCTGCAGAAGGTTCATCGACTCTACCCTGAGATGAGACCATCTACAGGCACATACAGTGAGTTTTTCTTGGTAATCACACTTCAGAACTTGTCTCTGATACATCACATTTGTGTTTTACTGAGGGCTTCTTGCTCTTATTCTCATTTTCAGCATTCAGTGATGGCAGCCAGAAAAATCTCCTGAAATTAATTGATAACATTCCTGTAAAGTATGAAGGTATGCTGGTCTCTGACACTAGAGCTGTCTAAAGGCTGAGAGAAAGGGTTTTTATAATCTGATGACAAACCAATCTGTGAATATGCCAGTATGAGGTTGTTATTGTGTACTGATGTCAGCATCTCTAACTTGTCCAAAGGATGTTCCTACAACTTTCCCATTCAGCTGTGGCTCATGGACTCATTCCCATTCACTCCTCCCATATGCCTTTTGAGACCAACCTCTAATATGGTTATAAGAGTGGGGAAACATGTTGATGCTCAAGGGCGGATCCATCTGCCAGGGCTGCACAACTGGGATTATGTAAGTTTTTATTCTTATTTTTAGAAGTGTAAGTTTCCATAGACTCAGTCCTGTGGTGTTCTGATCAGTTATGCTGCTGTTTCAGCCAAAGTCATCTGTGGTGGGCCTTCTGACCGAGATGACTGCCAAGTTTGAGGAGGATCCTCCACTGTCCTCAAAGACCACAGGGAACAGCAGTAACCCCAATGAGATTCTGGCATTTGTCTCTAATTTCCACATCAATGATGGTGCTTAACTTGAAATCAGATTTATTTTTGCTGATCAATAATCAGATGAGTACTTGCCATTCTTAGCTGCGCTCATGTCCCTTTCAGGTGGAATTAGACATCATGATCAACCAATCAACAAAGTCTCAGTTATTGGGGGAGGAGATTTAGGAATGGCTTCCGTAATGAGCATTTTGGCAAAGGTAAATAGCTTCTGTGTTATATTTCATGGATTTGAGTTGATGTACATTTTACCAGGTTGAAAAAAACATGTTGCGTTGGCTTTTATACTGTATGTTGATGGCTCTTTTTTTCCTCCACCTTTCATTTAGTGTAAAGTGGATAAACTGGTTTTTATTGACGTCGCTGATAGTTCAACTAAGGGCGGGAGTACAGATCTAGAGATTTTTGGTCTGCCAAACGTTGAAGTGTCCAGAGGTATGTCACTTTCCGCGCACACAATAATGCACGATTGTCTCTCGGCTGTTTCAAAGGTAGATCAATCCCTGGTGGGATTAATCAAGAGTGTTTGTTGCTAGAAAGATCAACCCATTAAGATCTGTCTGTCTTACCACGAGGCTTGTCGTTAGACCTTTGGAGGAGCTAACTACTTCCAACTCTTCTTAGATACATCGGCCTCTGCAGGCTCCAGGGTTGTTGTGGTGACTGCAAATGCATGGAACAATGAGCAGTCGTATGTAAGCGTGGTTCAGACTAACGTGGACTTGTACAGAGGAATCATCCCAAATCTGGCACATCTCAGCCCTAACGCTGTGATGCTCATCGCTTCACAGCCAGGTTGGTGACAGTGACAGACACCCCCTCTACAGAGCAGACCTCTTTCCTTGTTACCCATTCATATCAACCATTTTATTTCTTGTCCAATTCCAGTGGATATCATGACCCATGTTGCCTGGAGGCAGAGCGGCTTACCTCCAGCACAGGTGATCGGAGCAGGGTGTAACCTGGACTCAGAGCGTCTTAGTCACATTTTGGATATTAACCTAAACACCCACAAACAAGCCTGGTTCATAGGAGAACTTTCAGATAGCAAAGGTGAATGCTTGACTTAGTATGTACAGCCACTCCTCTTCCAATTATTATTCAAATATCTCCTTCAATCTCCGCTCTAGCCATTGTTTCTTCAGCTTGGTTTATTTTTGCATAACTGGTAATGCTGCAGTACCTACCAATTATGTAGATTCATACCATTCTCCAGAAACACTTGGCTGAGTTAGTCACTGTTTTTGTTTTGCAGTTGCTGTGATGAGTAACGTTGGGCTGAACTCCAGTGTGCAGCCAGAGATCGCCTCAGGTTCCAGCATCACCAAACCATTGTTAGACAGGTACTGACATGAATGACTATAACCTCAAGTTGAAGGATTTAGATTGTGTGATCTGGTATTGTGAAGACTTTGAAAATCTTTGCTGGTGCTGTTGAAGGAAGTTTGGGGAATTTTTGAGATTTAGATTGGATTAGAAATTGTAACACTACAGTTACCTCTGCTTGTTCATTCTTTCCAATTCTCAAATTTATATTTTTGTGCATGTAGAGCAATTGAAATCATGAAGAATCCAGACCATTGTTAGACAGAGCAATTGAAATCATGAAGAATCCAGGCCAGCGGTCGTGGTCCGTGGGTTTGTCCATCGCTGACATCACAAACAGTATCCTGACAGATAAAATGAAGATCCACTCTGTCTCCACACTGGCTCAGGTACAGTTGCCCAGTGTCTCGATACCAAAACAATCACATTTCTTCCACTGTCGGCCTTCATTGAGTTGAAGTTGTGGTTGTCTCATTCACAGCTGTGAGGGATTCCATTGATATTTAATTATACAAGATGTTAAGGTTTCACCTGTCTCTCTTTGCTTTAGGGCTGGGGTGGTATAGGTGCAGAGGTGTTCCTCAGCCTGCCGTGCATCATGGGATCGAAAGGTTCAATGCGACTGGCTGGAGTGTCACTGGGACAGGAAGACGACGCCAAACTCAAGGGCAGCATCACCTCCCTTTCTAACCTCATGAGTCAGCTAAGAATGTGAGGGAAATGATTAAATTCCCAGTTTGTGGCTTAACTGACCAGTCTGCAAGTAGCTGCTGCCTAATGGTGGGGCAGTTCTCCAGTCAGCATACCATCAGCAGGATTTCACGCTGAATGCAGCTTTAATTAGCTACTTACACAGAGATTTTGAAGTTATGGACTATAGGATTATTGGTATGAATGTGTAATTGAATCATAAAATCTGTTTCTCAGTTGTCTTTCAACAGTTTATTAAATGTAGGTAATAGAAATGTCATAACTATCAATGTACAGATTTTTGTATTTAAAATTTACCAGGATTGTGAGAAGGTACTTGGTGAGTCTCGCATAAAATGTTACATGAATGCACTACTATATTTTTGAGAGCATCTAAAGAATAGTGATGTTTGTATATTTTTGACAACTATTTTTGTCCAAGTGAAAACACTTTTCAGCAGTTTTACCAAAGATGTACTGTAAAACATTTTTTCTGCTAACTCACTCCTTATGCAATTCATTGGAAGAAAATCAAGGTGTTTGATAGATGAAGTATGAAGCATGTAATTAATATTATAAACTACAGAGTTCTGGCATTAATACAATAGAAAGTCTTACTTAAGTATAGCTTGTATATTTTAATGGCCTAATTTGCCACCTAAGTGCCGTTTCCATCTGTAATGGCAAAGCATTTAAAATGCTAAAAAGCTTTTGTTCTTACTTTTGTTTACTTTGTATGAAGCCTTTGCACGGCTAGGACCTCAGACGTGCCCAATAAAACTGTATTAGTGGGTGTGCAATAATTACCCAAAACCAGATGCGTTTTGTCTCTGTGGCAAAGAGAAAACAACAGACAACTAAGGTTTATTTGTTTATAAAAGTCACGGGTAGCTGTATGAATGTACATAAGCTTTGGTCTAAGCCACACCATCACTGATATCAACCAGATCCGTAAATGCTGGTCAGATCCCATGACTTAAGATACTCCAGCAAGCCAGACATACTTGTGTGAAGGCCAGGATCTAAGTTCTTTGATTTGAATCGCAGCAGCCAAACCAAAGTTCATGAACAAGCTATTAAACATTTGTTAATCTGCCCTTAGCAAGAAAATTCTTGTCTTTTTTTTTTTAGCAGTAACCTGAAGCTCCATTAGAAAACAACTGAATAGTTACAGAAAACCTCCTGGTAATAACAATGTCAGTGCAAAAAACTAAATGTTTAGACAGTATATATGTAATATAGAGTATAACTGATTTAAACAAGTATTAGGTTTTTGTACAGTATATTATGGCTCATCTTCCATTTCTCAAGAACTTTTGTTTTGAACAAAAGCTGTTGAGATAAACTAACATAAGTCGCTGCAATGGCTCTAAAATATGGCTGTGCATATAACACGTATCTTTCATTCACTTCTCTCCCAGTTTGTGATAAGGAATCTCTCCTTAATCTCTTAAGTCTATCTTACTGTGTGCACATTCATAGACAGTAATTACAGGTAGTATTTATGTCCTGGTCAGAACTAATTTCCCAAATAGTTTGTTGTCAGTGGATGTGTGGTAAAATGTAAGGGCTCATTTTAGAGCTGACATCCAATCCACTGTGTAACACTTCTGAGCACTAGGTGGAGCTATTCCTGTGTCAAATAAATATAACAAAGATTTTTTGACAGCATCCTAAGCAAACATGTATCCACAGAGTACCCTGGGAAATAAATGACCTGACCAGGCTTCATGTGAATTCAGCAAGCTTCAGTATTTACATCTGTGACATATTGCACCAAGTCCTCCCTGCTGCGGTGGTGACAAGATCCTTTCTAAAGGCTATGTTGACAGTTCTTTGGTGCAACATGGTTTAGTGGTCCTTTGTTATCAAGTACTGACCTACAGATATAGTAAAGAAACTGTTAGATCAAGAGTTTCTCTTTATGATATACTGTTAAGTAAAGTGAGCCTGCTCACAGTTTACCAAAGATACAGTATTTGGATTAATGTATAGGCTTGGAGTGCTTTAGCAAAGATGGCCTTAATCTGCAGCCTCAAAAGCCCTTGTATCAGAGGTGCTACCCTCAGTGCACGGCAAGCAGGTTAAGATGTGTTTGTAGAACAAAATGAAACTAATTGCAAAGAAGTAATGGTGAAACACAATGCTGGTATTAGATCACCTTATTTCTGTTTAGATTTTTCATCATCCATAAAACAAAAACAAATGTGGCCTCACATACTAACAATACACTTGCTTATTGTGCAGCAAACAGTAAAACAGATAGCAGTTTTAAATACAAGCCAAACACTTTTAAACGTTAACTGCCCTCACAAAAAGGTGCAAGTACTATATTATATCTGTACATATCAATGAGTAAAGTCCTTTCACAACGCGCACACAAACAAAAATCTTTAACACCAGCCTTTCACCTCTTCAATGGCTTTGAAAACATATCAATCATAATCTCAAAGTCCAGATCCTTTTGGCATGATCAGTAATACTTAAATGAAACTTCAAAAGGTCACAGATTTGGGCAGCTGCTGTCCACCTGGAGGCGCCCTGCAAAAGTCTGGGCTGGATTGGACCAGGGGAACTCCTACTGCTGCCTGTCCTGAGGGCCTGGAATGACCTGGGGGAGAACCAGTGTACAGCAGCGGTGCTGGAAAGGCAGAATGGTCCCTGGGTCCCCTGGAGATAGGCTTGGAGTAACTGGGCGAGGTGGTTCTGTGTGTGTCGGCGCTACACTGGAGGGGAGTGAGTCTGTCACCACATTTAGGTGGAAGAGGGGGGATTATGGAGTTCTCCACCCAGCTGTCCTCTCCTTTATATTCTGGCTCCTGGGGCAAACTGGGGAGTGCACACAGCGAGGGGGGAAGAGGAGAAGGGGAAGGGGGGATGAAGACCAGAGGTGGAGGCAGAAGGTAGAGTGCAGGATCATACTCTCTGTCTGTGTTAAGATGTGGGTTGTTGTGCGCTTTGGTAGTTTCCTCAGGAGTGGCAGCTGGTAGCTTCTCCAGGTAGTGGTTGTCCTCATCAGCCTGGGACAGATTGTCATACTGGGAGGTGTTGGAGGGCCGTCTATCTCCCATCAACGCTGGGACATAGAGAGATACTGGGAATCTGGATGGCTTTGGGGGAGATAGCCTGGGAGAGGAGGAAGAAGAGGATGGTGTGAACTCATGAGGAGGGGCAGGTTCTGAGGTTGGCTTTTTCTGTGTGAGGTCAAAAGATTTGGGTGGTTTTGGAGAAGGTTTTGGAGATAACTGCATTTGAGGGACCAGTGGCGAGGCTGAGCAAGGGGAGGGACAGCGGTGCTGGTTCTCTGAACCAGTCATAGTCCCCAGGTGGGATGATTCACTGCCCAGAGGTCTTTGGTCATTCTGGTCCAGGTAAGGCAAAGGTGGAGGTGGCAGATCTGGAAGGTCCATGATCTCCCCCTCGGCCTGCAAGGTGACAGAGTCAGAAACAGAGGGTTCATAGGGTGGAGGCCAATCCACAAGTTCATCCAGGCTTCCCTGCCTTCCCCCAACCTCTAGTGACTCCTTCACATCTCTGTTCAAACCTACTACAGTTGAGGGTTTGTTTGTTTTGGGGGGTAATGGAGGTACTCTACAAGGCCTTACAGGGGGTGTTCCTTGTGTGTGGACTACAACTGGATCTGGTGAAGGCAAAGAAGGTGTATTTGCACTGGAGAGGTTAGTCGAGTCCTGGGGTTTTTCTGGAGAAGGGGTCTGGTGCGGGGTGATGCTGTCTGTTTGGTGGGCATCTGTATCAGTCTGACTTTGGGGCTGCAGATTTATTTTCACCTCCAGGGAAGAGTCAGGTTGCAGTGGCAGTAGGAGAATTGGTCTCTCCTCACCCAGAGGTTTCTTTGGCAGCTCTTCTGACTTGGCTTAAAAAGGAGATAAAAGATGAGGAATGCATCAACAAAGGAAAAAAGATACATTAGAAAATAGAGATTAATATAGCTTTAAAACTGAAAAATAAAAGAATACAAGAATACAACTTTACCTGGAGGAGGCTGGTCCAGCTTTTTACTGTGAAGTTCAGACATAGCAGCCTGTAACTGTTCAACCACCACATCATCAGGCAGGAGGAAAGAAGCAGCCAGCTGCTCCTGGAGAAACTCCCTTAGGTCCTCTAACTGAAGCTTCTTGAGGCGCTCTAATTGGGTGCATAATACAGACACAAACGAGAGAGACAATTTAACTCAAAGAATGGGTAACACATCTGGTAACCTCTGCAAAGCTGGTCTGACTCGTTTAGCACGGCATGGTACGGCAGACAATGGAACAAGTCTCATACTCACTCTTGTGTAACTTGAGGGCTGTATAAGCCATGGCGGTTAGGATCTTATCTCCCTCTAGTATGTAGATGTCCCATAAACGCAGGGTGAGGGTGAAAGGGGTCTGTTACAGAAAACACACAGCAGCAGTGTAGGTCTGATTAACAAATAAAAAAAAACTACCCCAAATGTGGTTCTGCGTTCAACAGGGAAGCGAGGAAATGCACTTTATTATACTGCTCAATGTCTGAGTTTAAATGCAGAATACACCTAGTACTAGAAATAAAAGGGTCAATCTTCAGATGGAACATTCATGCAGTTCACATGCAATCACAGCTAAAGAAATGTGAGAAACCCACTCTGTCAATGAAGCACTGCAGAAACCATTTGGTGGTGTACATCCCTGTTGTCATCTGCTCCTTATCCTGTGGGGAAGAAATTAATGAGAAACATTTTCTAGGAGAAATCACTACTCATTATCTCTTCTCAACGATGAATCGCACTCTTGGACTCACAGCAACATTCTGAGGCCTTAAATTAATCAGACAATGAGACAGAATCAACTGCAGCCCATAACCCCTCTAAGTAATCAATTACTATAGCTCAGTATCTCTTGCATGGACATAAAGCATCAGTCAGACAGATGTACTGTCACTCACCAGGTGTTTTTTCAGCTTAGGCAGCATTTTGGAGAGGATCTGCTCATGGTGGGTCTGGAAACGGTGCAGCTTGGGAAATCCTGGAATGAAAAACCCTAGCACAGAGAGAGAGAGAGAGAGAGAGAGAAAATCAGCAGGCCATATATGGCGTGCAGATATGGACATAGAGACATTATACTAGCAGTTTACAAATAGAAAAAATATTTTCCACCATAAAAGACTTGCTCAAGTCAGTATTGCCCCATATAACGGTTGATAAGTTCAAACATGAATCAGCTCTGCATTTTCTTCCTCATTTCTTCCTCTGTCTCACCGTGCATGGCATGCTTGCTGTTGGTGAGGAGCTGGGACAGAGCCCAGAAGGCATCTTCTTCATTCAGGTACATGAGTAAGATGGCAGCAATTTGACTCATCCCCTGGCAGTAGCTGACCTCCTGGAGAGAAGATGCATTCAATTAAACTCAATGGACAAATCTGAGAATTGTTTAAAATAATTTATTAGAACACAGACAGACACACAGGCTGAGGGATAAAGGGAGGAGAGCACCTGAAGTCTTCAAGCTGAATTTGATTCCACACAGAGTCAACGATTTACACTAAACACATTGCCAGTGGCAGGCACAGACACATAAAACCTGACACACACTTGATATGTGTTCATATTGAGGCTGATTTACTGTGCAGCTAGAAAATGACACTCCAAAGTAATACAGAAAAACACTGTAAATATAGTTAGTTATATCGAGGTTCAACTACACATTCCTCACATTCGTCTCGACCATCAAAAAGGCGAAAAGTACAAAAACCCTTTCCCCACTATCCCTCCCTCCTGCCTTCTTTCTCATGCTCTCCTGTTGACCCAGTTTCTCAGCAGCACTGTGTGAGAAGAGGAAGGAAAATGGAACAGCACATGCCCGTTTCCTCTGGCTCAAACACCTAGAGCCTAATCATTTAAACAGACATTGAATGTGTGTGCATGTGTGTAGATGGGCTGAGTCTGTCTTTGGATGGTAATATTTTATCACTTTTAGATGCATTTGTGCTTTGACGAGTGATTATATAAAAATGAATATGCATGTATATGTTAAGATATAGGTTTTGAATATGAACATGTGTTTACTATATTTTAGCTAATGTGCTGATAATTCCTGTACAATTGTAAAAACCAGATTTCACCCCACTGAGACATACTCTGACCTATGGCAGAGAAAGTACACTGAAACACAAGACAGTGTCAAGAAGATGCAGGGAATCCTCAGCTGCATTTCAAACAGATTATTGTAAAGCAAACACTGTTAAGATTACAAATGAAAATAAAAAGGATGAATCTGGCTTTGGAAGCAAGTACAAGTGAACACAATGTTTAAAAATTTTTTTTACAGCAAACCTTAAATAAAAAATGGGGTCCTATTTGTACTGTGTTATAGCAATATTGCAATAAATAGTACTTTGTAGGGTCACAGCAAAGTATTTTCATCATCTGTTATCCTGCGGTTTATTTTTTTCCCCATTCAATCGACTAATCCGCTTGTCCGTTAAATGTCAGAACACAGTCAAAAACCCTCAAGATATTCTGATAATAATCATACAAGACAAAAAAAAATGCAGAAAATCCTCACAACTGTGAAAAACTGGAAGCTGGTAATTTTCTGCATGTTTGCATGAAAATCAACTGAAACAGCTAATCGATTACCAGAATAGCTGCAAATTAATTATGTATTGAAAACAAAAGAAATGTTTCAGCTCTAGTGTTTTGCTTTGCCAGCATGTGCCTGCTGAGTATGGATGTGGGTTTACAGATGGTGTAAGTGCTACACTGAGGATGAGCCATATTCATAAATACATGACCTTACCCAGACCTCTATAAAGAATGAGAACAGAGGGCTTGTGAGTGCTTGGCCTGTTCTTTGCTGCATGAAAAGCAATGCACTCTATGGACTCGCAGCTGTTGCACCAGTGATGTGCTGCTTTTGTTGCGCAGCCAGTGTATACAATACTCCTCTATATTATGTAACACGGACTTAGGTATGCAACCGTACACGCTCACACAAACACACTCACCGTGTTGTAGACAGAGTAAGCTGCTAGTACATGGAACAGTGCCTGCTGCCTACAGAGGGAACAGAGAAACCTCTGGTTAAAAACAAGGATGTGATTCCTTATCAACAACAAGATGAATGTGTCAGAGTTTAGTGGCGTTTATTGAATGAAAATTCCCTAAGGCCACAGGAGTAACGATTTTTCTACCACCTCACCCCTAAATTAACTCCATCAGTCAGCAGAGACAGATTCTAAATAACCACAAATGTTTCAGGGGAGGTGACAAACCTGGGTTACATCATATCATCCTGGTCATGTTTGTGTAAAACTGTGTGTGTTTGTGTGGACAAACTCTTCCTGTAACCAATGAACCTACGCCTGTGCTATCCGGTATTGCCCACCACAGAAACATTTAAGATTTATTGCAGAGCGTGTGTGAAAGGACATCTGTTAGTAATGTGGTGACACATCACTGAGCTGCCATCTAAAATGGATTGTTTGCTTGACATGATTATACACAGGTGAGCTGCTATTGTGACACATGAATATCTAAAATCCCATCGATAAATCTAGGTGAGTGGAGCAGGGACATATAATGTGGGCAAGAGAGGATGTCTTCCCGTCTCTATAGTGAAAAAAAAAAGTTTTACACATAGTGATGGCGACAGTAAAGGAGTTTTAAATAGCTGTCAGTGTTTTGGTGTGAGTGAGACAGCTGCTGACTTGCAGGGAAGCAGCAGGCAGTCGAGTAGGATGGAGCAGTGTGTAGGACTGTTTGGACTCAGTGGCTTTGAACTGAAGGGGAAGTACTTAAGAAGGGAGCACTCAGTCGCACACAAGAGTTAAACGGACAAGAAAACACCAATGGCTTCCACAACTGTCCCATGATCACCATGTGCTGTACATACAACAGGGTGTTTGTGTTCTGAAGGTCAATTATTTTTCTGTCTAATAGTTTGATATGTATGCGTTGTCTGCAGATAACACTGTGGCCAGTGTTGTTCTTCACATGTATGCCTGATGTCTGTGCACATTTCTGTATGAATGTCATTTCCTGTGGGGCTTTGTGTACTGACAGGAAGACTAATAAAACACCGAGAAGAGGAAACCACTGCTTGGTTTTGTTTAAGTGTATATGTCTCCACAAGAGAAATAAGCAGTGTGTTTGCTCAGGACAGGTACAAATTACTCAGGGTTTCTAATGTGAATGTTGGTGGCAGTCATGTAAAAGAGGGAATGAAGAAATCATGTACATGAATTGGAAACACAAGGTACTTTTTACTGAGTGACATCAAAAACTCACTTGACTCCAAAGCGATCCATGAACATGATGTGCTTCCTGAAGGTTCTGTTCACATCTAGGTCTATCTGTTTGATCTCCGTAGATAAGTTACGAGCCTGCTGCTTCATTTTCTAGAGGACAGGACGAGAACAAAAATATTCCAACATCTGTCAGAAATCACCCTTTTAAAATATCCTGATTTCAGAGTAAATGTCATCAGATAATATGGTTCATACCTCATATTTTCCCTTGTTTTCTTCTTTGACTTTGGCTATGTCCAAAAGCAAGGCCCAAGCCTGGCCTCTCAGCTGCAGAGGGATGCCTTTATATACACGCTTCATTAGCTGCAACATTTGACAGACACATATGAACACATAAGAACAGGGACTCCTTAAAGATAAAAAGAGTCTTCACTGTCACAACCAGACAAAACGGAGGGTCATATATGAATGCAGCTTTATGGGGTGTAACCCTGCTAAATCTACTGAATGACAAAGAACCATCACATACACATATGTACTTGCTTAAGTGTCTAGACTGGGGAGGAGGGAGGGGAATTGAAAACAGACTATTAACAGAAACAAAAATGATATATATTTTAACAGAAAAAAATGGGTACAATGAGCCAGTGTGTTTGTGTGTCAGAGTGTGAGTTCCTTGTTGTCTGATGGGCATCACTACTGAGTTCCACACCTTTTCACTGTTCTTGTACTTGTCCCAGTTCTTCACCATCTTCAGCCATTTCTCCACTCGCTCGATCTCCTGTTGCTTTTGCTGCAGAGAGGGAAGACGGATGTGCATGTAGGCCACTGCGTACGTGAAGGAGCATAATATATGATGCCAAAATCTGGACTTGTTGTACAGCAAATAAGCTCATACCTTCTCCTCAAGTGCAGTGGGTGTGGGTAACTCTTTCTCACTGGAGCAGAAATACACAAATGTATTAGAACTAGGGTCTTTGAGAGGATAATCTTAGTGTGGCAGTATTTTAAGGCATCATTATAATATGAAAAAAAATCTGGACTTGTTGTACAGCAAATAAGCTCATACCTTCTCCTCAAGTGCAGTGGGTGTGGGTAACTCTTTCTCACTGGAGCAGAAATACACAAATGTATTAGAACTAGGGTCTTTGAGAGGATAATCTTAGTGTGGCAGTATTTTAAGGCATCATTATAATATGACAAAGATGCAGGAGAGAGGGTGAGGAAGAGGGAAAGAGACCATCTAGATACAAATCAAGGTATGCAGGAATTCAGTCCACTACAAGGAAAATGTCAGTAACTTACTGCAGGAATCCAAAGCGGTCAGTAACCTTATAGATACTGTAGTCAGCATCCTCCCATGGGTCAATGTTGACACCCTCCTGCCTGCCCTGAAACACACACATAGCATAACCCCTATTGAAACTATTACATGAAAAACAACAAACAGTTTAAAAGTGATTTGAGCTGGGGGTTTTTTGCTGTAAACAAACACAGGCAAAACAAGTAGAATAAAGCTTTGAGAAAATATGCTTCAAGGAATTACAGTCTTACTTTTTAGGTTTTAATGAACTTTGGTAAACCCTGGCTGTCCCTGCCATTTGGCAATGACTGAAATTTGTTTGAAATCAAAGGTGGTCAGTGCACAGAAACCGCTGTACATTTTCCTCCAAATCAATCATGGCACTCTGTTCATTTATAAGCCACAGTAGACCACCTTAAATGCATTTCTTCTGCTTATCATAAATACCCTAGGTATGACAAGAAATCAGTGGTTAGAGTTCGAGGATGGGATTCCTATGCATGTGTGTACCTTGTCATATTTAGAGATGATTTCAGCACGTTCCTCTGCTATCAGTGTGTCTATGTCCTTCTTCATGTCAAAATCTGAAAAGAATCAGACAAAAATGTCACTAATAATCATCAGAATGGACATACCTCAAATCAATGTGAACAAATATTTACATTAATAAAATATAACTGCATGATTTAGTGTGTGTTTTTAGCGCAGGTGTGTACAATACAGAGAAGGTATGGGAACATCTTCACATACTTGAACCTATTCGAAGGCATAAGAATACATTCATGTAAAACCTTGACTGACAGCTCAACCTTTTTTTGCTTGCCTTTATAGGGAATAAAAATTCTGACTGAACATGTTTTCTTATGTTTGCTCAGTGACTTTAGCAACACTGACAAATTATCTGTTTACACTGAGGTCAGAGAAAAGATCAACTACAGAGCAGCACTAAGCTTTTCCATCTTAGGAACCTTAACATGAAAAATGCTCAGCATGCTATAGCTCCTTTCCATATGTCTCACCGGCAAATCAGCTTAATATTACTAACTTTCTTACTTATCCATCAATCCATCACCGAAACCCAAAAATGAACAGTAACACAACTGACAAATCATAAACATTTGACACATCCCCTGAAGCCTGAGAATGAAGACATACGCTACACAGCCATCAGCAACTTCCTGAAAACATGCCCAAATCTTCATCTGACCACAGCTCAAGCTCACAGGTTCCCAGTGTGAAGTTATAATTAAATGATCAGTCACTATTAAGAGTGTATTTTATGTATTACCCCTTAGAGAGGCTGACTGTCAAGCATCACTGTGTAAAAATAAGAATGTCAATTTACGTCTAAGTGGTTTTAAGAAACATACACAAAAATATAAAAGATAACAGTTGAACACTTGAACCCTCCTGCCTCTTTCCCACTGAGCATTTAAGCTTTCCTCTAGCCTTCCTTGGCCTGATGCACTCTGGCAGCACGGCTTGGCTGTTTAACAGTTGACAGGGCTAAATAATCGCCTCACTGCTCGTCTGCCAGGTCAGCATCTCAGAGCGATGTTTGAATATAAAGAACATGTTACTGCTATGCCCAGTAGGCTCACTGGATGAAAGGGAGATAAAAGAAAAACCCTGGACGCGGTTGCACCCTGTGAATGTACTGTAGACATTAAAGCATCAGGATTAACAATGACCTGCTACTATCAAGTGTTTATGTTAAGCAACAAAACCAAACTTGATTTACTTTAAAACAACTCAGATTTTCTGTGACAGCTTGAGGAGAACTCAACAGGCAAGCCCATAACAAAGGCTGGAAAACTTTCACAGACGCCTGACAGCATGCGCAGCCAGCTGAGGCCTCAGGCATGCGCCTAGCAGCAACAGGTGTGAGGGGCACCTGCCACGTCTCACAAAGACTCTTTAACTTTTCCCTTCAGACCCTTATGCCTTGTGCCAACGAGGAAAGTTTTGTCTGAAGCGATGTGACATTTCCAACACAATTTACATCTTGATGCCAGAACAGTGGCGCAATGACAGATAAGGGAGCAAGTCTCAGTGGACTGAATTTCAAGATGCAATTTGTTTGTGGGTATGTTTGTTTAAAAAAATCGTGCGGCACTTAAGTAAAGTACTGGTGACATACACTGTTAAAATATAATTTCTAATAATGATCTAAACACCTGAGATGAAGTACACCTGCCTCAAACTGCAGTTTTTGTTTACATAGCAGTTCATCCAGCTTGACACCACAGTTAAACCTTTATGAAGTATACACATATAGTATATATCATGAGAAATGGCATCTGGTCTTCTAACAAAACCAGGAGACAGGAGTCAAACCCATGGCTAAATGTGTTAAGTACTGATGTATTATTTCCAGATGTTTAGATACCAAATCCCTCCAGCATGTATCTATAAACACTCAGCTCCTGCTGGAGCTGCTGTCTAACAGGTGATCAGTGAAACCAGAACACTGAACAAATGAACTCTGCTGCTCTGTGCTTTTCTTGTTACAATTTCCCTTTTCTCACCCATCTCATGTTAGGCTCTTTCAGGTTTTTCAAGGCATCAGCATATTTTTCTGAACAGCTGATTAGGCTGTCTGCGAGGTGTTGCATTAACCTGGTTCCAAACTTGCCTACATCATATGTCTAGACTAGTCCCTTACACACTGGCTACATTTAAAAAGGCTTGAAGGACAAACTAATGTATAGCTGAGATTGGTACCTTTCTCTTATGTTGGGTGGAGGAAATTCAAATAAAGTCTGAACTACAGCAACCTTTAACATCATAATTAATGTGTCTGTTATTTATTTGAATCTGTCACAGCAAAACTTGAAAAATATGCCAACTAGCAAAGTGGGCTTTCGAGAAATTGTTGATTTGAATGTGTGAAAACACAAACATGCTGCACTTCCCACTGCACCTGCTGAGTTATTTAACATTATCGGAACTGGAAACTAAAAAACTAAGTATTAAAATATACTATAGGTAAACTGGTGTAAAAGGTCTGCTTTGCTTCATCTGCAGATTCCAACTGCTTACTTCCGTTGTAGCGCCTCCAGACTGCTGACAGTATTGTGTTAGGTCAGGAAGAAAAGGAAACCAGTGACCACCACTCCTTCAACAACAGGTTCAATGAGAACTGCAAAAGGAATAGGTCCTTCCTCCAACCAAGGAATAACCTTTTATGGAAAAAAGTCTCAAATTATCCACACTCAGTGTTTGTAGTCAGTAAGGAAGACATGAGTAATACCACAGGGCGGTCAGTTGATACTGACACTACCGGTGTTTTGTTTCTGAGTCATCAACACAGCTGAGCTCCTCCTCAATGGGTAATCTGTCAAAAACATTATATCTTTCAGTTTGTTCAAAGAAATTTATTGATGGAAGCAAGAGGAAAAAGCGAGTAAGCAGCTGAGGAACTCACTGAGTGGGAGAGAGATCATGCAACTAGTTGCACATCACACCTGTATAGCTAGTAGGCCTGTGTTTTAAGCACTGCATATAAGAGATGGACAAACCCACTGTGATGTCACCCACTGGTTTTCTGAAGAGCAGTTTTGAAGCTCAAGTCTGGCCTTAATGGTATCACTCCACTCCGCTTACTTTGGCTAATCCAAAAAAGGACAAGGAGGTGGAGCATAAGTGGAGCTCTCTAGACAGCTAGCAGCCAGCCACCTATGGTGGGACCAGGCTGTAAACATGTTTATTTCTCCTGTATAGTTGGGCAATTTAACATGGAGGACTATGGGGATTGACTCCCTTTTGGAGCCAGCCTCAAGTGGAGGAACTGCAGGTTTTGGCATTTCTGCATTGGTTTCATTTCTCAGCCTCAGAGGATGCCACTTGGTTTTAAGTGGGAATATATGAAAAAACAGATTTGATAAAGTTTTAAACTATTTACAGATTTTAAGAGAGAGCTTATAAGCAGAGAATGCCAGTTGGGTGTGAAATGTAGTAACATGCCATTGCATCTTTTTTACAGGGGAAAAAAAAAACATATCTTTTCACATATCTCTCAAAACAGCAGCGTTGAGACAGTGGCAGTCTATACACTGAGCTGACAGTGTGCCAGAGCTGCAGAGAGCTAATGACACTGAACATGCAGTGACAAACCACTTCCCTGTACAGCTATATTTTGATTACCTAGGCGTTTACAGGAGCATTGGGCCTAGGTGACATCATTTCCTGTTATGACTTGGAGCTCTAAATCGAGCTGGCGTATATAAGCTCTCAGTGTACTGCTGTAACCACAAACAGCTTGCAGAGCATTCCGAGTCACATTCAGCTATTTACATGGTTGTTAGCAGCAATCCAACAGTCCAAACTTTTCCTTGTACATATTTCTACTTAGATCCAGGCTCATCTCTCTTTTGGCTTTTAATCAGTATTAATGTAGCAGCCAGACTTAACACAGAGGATTAGACAGCAGTGGGACTGAAAACTGATTGCTGCAAACTATTTTGTACTGACAGTGTGGGTTAGATAAGATGTGTGTGTATATGTGTGTGCATGTTATCAGTGGGCAGACATCTTGAGCTGAAACCCTCAAGTGACACTTAGATCAGGGTGTGGGATTTTCAGACCAGAGTCACTGGACTGCAGACTTCACCGTGTTTCCCCTCAACAAATTCTGCTCACTGTGGTTGTTCACTGGAAACACCAAATTAAATGCATTATGCAGATTACATTGAAATCCCAAGGGAAAGATTTATCAGTTACAAGATACATATGATCACATTTTCATTTTCACTGCACGTCTTCTAAGCAGCTGGAACACAGAACCACTAACTCCGAACTGGCGATGGTGTGTTGATGGAGAAGACGAAGTGAGCTCTGGCCCTGAGATCAGACATGCATTCATTCAACCTGGTTAACCTCACAGAGCATGCTCCCATACTGGGCAGAGCTTATCGTTCATCTGTGCCATTTATCACTTTTGTCCTGCGCATGTTTACATTACCTCACCCTGGGCTCTGAAATTGTAACCCACCAAGTAGCAAAGGCAAGTAAATACTGCAAATACCAACTTAATTTCATTATTCATAAGTGAGGGGTCCTTAGACCTTTGAAAAGCTCTATAACAGCTGACACCTAGTGCTTAGACCATGAATCAGGCTGCATATTTCTGTCCAAACCCGACCCATGCCGCAGAGTGTGGTGTCCGAACCCAACAAGCTTATAGTATATAATGTCCAAACCCAACCTGAACCTGATACAGTCTAGTTTGTACAGTGTTTTCCCCCTTAACATTAAATGACATTTGAGCGCTCCAGCCATGTAACCTAAAGTTTGACCTATGTGTCTGAACCTGACCTGGACCTGAACATAATTTCTAAATTTCTGTCCAAACCTGACCCAAACCCTCAGGTACTGATGGGTCACCATGGGCTCAGTTCAGGCATCCACATCCTACTAGTGTTCATTCAGAGTTTCTCCTAATATAACAGACAGTTGACAAAAAACCTTATCACATGCCTTTCATTTGTATGATTGAGTGCTCCATTTGTCTCCAGTGGCTCTAAATCCCATGACATTCATTTTTTCAGAATCCAGTTACGAAATGTAAGTGTTTATACAAGGC